GTTCAATCTGGAAGATAGGAAGTTTTGTTAATGATCTGGAAGATGGGACGGATTGCATCCTCAGAAAATTCATGGATGATACCAAGCTGGTGGGTGGAGTAGATATGCTGGAGGGTCGGGGGCACGTGCCCCACCGACTAAGGTGGCAGCAGTCGCCCGTGGCCTGGGGGTTACAGTGAACAAGAAGCTGGATATGAGTCAGCAGTGTGCCCTTGTTGCCAAGAGGGCTAACAGCATACTGGACTGCATTAGTAGGAGCAATGCCAGGACATCCAAAGAAGTGGTTATTTTGCTCCATTCTGCACTGGTGAGGCCACATCTGCAGTACTGTGTCCACTTTTGGGCCTCCCACTACAGGAAGCATGTGGAAAAGTTGGAGAGAGTCAAATGGATGGCAACGGAAATGGTTTGGGGGCTGAGGTACATGACTTCTGTGGAGCGGCTGAGGGAACGGGGCTTACCTAGTCCGGACAAGAGAAGACTCAGGGGGGATTGAATAGCAGCCTTCAACTATCTGAAGCGGGGTTCAAAAGAGGATGGAGCTGGACTATTATATAGTCCAGTTATATATTATATATACTTATATAAGTATATACTTATATAAGTTATATATTATATATACTTACCTGCGGGGAGCTGCAGGAGGTGCTCTCCAAGCTGCCTGGATGCCACATGCACATGTGTGTGTTCACACACGTGGCATCCCCTACCTGATGGTCCTCTTCCCGCTCCCTCTAGTCCCTCGGAGGCTGGAACTCTGCCAGCCTGCAAGAGGAAACCTACCATTTCCAGCCTTTGTCTTCTTAAAAAGAGACAATCTGGGTTTCACCACATTTTTCCATGGCGAACAGACAACCTGGATCTGTGCTGAGGAGGGAGGCTGAGGGAACTGGGCTTATTTAGTCTGCAGAAGAGAAGACTGAGTGGGGCTTTAATAGCAGTCTTATAGGGAAGCTCTCTCCATGCCCATTACATAGCCCAGTCTGTCTGTCCACTGCAAACTCACATGTGTTCCTCCTGCCAATACTGTGAAGCCCCCACCCCTACCCCTTCAGAATAAAAGCCATCATGAGCCACTTTTCCTTCTCTTGGGTGGAAGCAGAACAAGGCTTAAGCCAGACCGGGGGGCAGGGAACACAGCAATGGGCCAAAGATAGTTCCCACTCCTGCCTAAAATAGACCATGCCACTACAAACCCCTCCCTCCCATTCATATCAATTAACTCTCTCTCTCCTGGGAAAGGAGCGGGTGTAGAAGAGCAGCTCTAAAAATAACACCTCTTGCATTAGACCCTGCCCCCCGCTTCAAAATCCGGTTGGCAACCATGCCCGTGGCCCCGCCCCTGCACAGACTCCTTTGGGTGTGGGTGGATGTGGAACTGTGAAGGCAGGTCTCCGAGAGGGGATGGGCACGTCCTGGAGGAGCCTCCCCAGAGCAAGGTCACTCCCAAGGCCGGTTAATGATGACCTCCAAGGCCTCCATCACCTCCCGCTTGTAGTCGAAGTCGCTGTTGATCTGGTTGATGGACCGCTCCGCCACCCCCACAGCTGGCAGCTGGTCTCCATGATCACTCATGTGTTGTGGCTGATGATGAAGACCACGGTGAAGAGGAGGGAGGAGGCAAAGCATGAGCCAGGTGGAAGGCAAAGCAGAGCCCATTTTCATACTGAAGGAGAATGGAAAGACCCCACATTTTCCGCATCAGCCACTGCCAGGACAGGGCTGGGCAGTGAAAGGCACAACTGGGACCCACCGGCGACCCTGGCAGGAGGGTACTGCTTCTAGTAAAACAACTGTCCCATGGGACCCACAGGCCCACTCCCAGCCTAGTAACCCTTCTGCTTTCCTGCAACCCTAGACTGGAACCCTGTCCGTGCCAGCCTGGATCTGACCCGTGGACTATTACTACCTTCCTTTGTGCAGCAGATTGGACCCATGAGGCCACACCAGCCCAGTCTCGCCATCTACCCTTGAATCTGATCCATGGACCCAGTATTCCCCCAAGCCCGTCCTCCTCTGATCAGGCCAGTGGACCCCTCCCACCATGCTGCTTCCACTTGCCTCCTTGTACTCACTGATAGTATCACCCAAGCCATCAATTGACTCAATGCACAGAATATTTGGGGTTTCATCTGGGGGCAGTGGCAGATCCCAAACTGAACGCAGGAGTCCTGACCCACAGAACTTTCCTCCCACACACACCCACGCCAGGACCCAGGAGTCCTCCCAAACCATTCTCCTCACCATGACATGCTGGATGTCACTCCTTTCCAAGAGCCAGAGCAGGGCACAACCTACAAGTCCTGGTTCTCATGCCTGCTCTGCTCTGCTCTAACTCGCTGCACCCCCACTTCCTTCCCAGAGCAGGGAACCCATCAGAACCCCATTCCCATCCCCTGAGACTCACCAGGATGACGACACCAGGTTCCTTGGAGGCCAGCTCGGCAAGCACCACACAGGCTTTCTGCCCCCCTGGGTAGGAAAGAAAAGGGCCCTGAGACAAGTGGGGTGAAAGGAACGTCCAATCCCTTCTCCTTCCCTAAAATGCCATGATCCAACTTTCCATCCACCTCCACTCACATCAGCTCAATGCCCTGCACTCCCGCCCAGGAGAAGGGCAATGCTACTGGAAGTGTCTGCCCCCTGCCCCACCTTTTCCCTGTGTGGCCAAACCCACACCCCTCCCAGGGGCACAGTTCCAGCCTCTCCCTGACTTCTTCCTCAGTGGCCAGCCCTGACTGGTGGATTCCCAGCCTGTCTTCCCCTTTGCCTCAACCCTCACCTCCTGATCAGTGCCCTGCACCCTCAGGCCCTAGCTCCTCCACACTCACCCTCTACCCCCTGCCTGGAAGACCCAGCTCCATACCTGACAATTTGCAGATCTGGAGGATGTGGGCATGGCTCTTAAGACCGAAGCACCCCAGGCACTTACGAGCATCCTGGTAGGGCAGGTTGAAGTTGCAGTGCAAGTACTAGGTGGTCATCTCCTGCACACTGAGCTGGTCAGCGTACTGCTGGTTGGAGAACCCGGGTTTCTGCCAGGGCAGAAGGGGTGGAGTCACCACCTGTTGCTCCTCTCAGCCCTGCCCAGGCCTCTCCTGTCCCTGCAGTGGCCTGGGGTTTGTGGCGCGAGCGCGTGGGGGGCGGGCGGCAGGTGCGGGTGGCGCACCCCGTACTCTTCCTCTGCTACGAGGACCTCAAGGATGTCTGTGGCTCTGAGCTTCCCCCTGCAGTGCCTTGAGGCTGTGAGCTTCCCCTCAAAAGTGTCCCAGGGTTGCGAGTTTCCCCCAGCAGTGCCCTGAACTGGGGGAGGGGGGGAGGCGGGGAGGAAGGGAGGGTCTAGTTTCCTGCTGTGATCTTGGTAGTCCCCTAGGTGGGCACCCTGCAAAGTTCCCCAGAGCTGGAGGCGGCTCGGCGCCCCGCGTGGAGTCGCGCCCGGGCGCTGGGGGCGCGGGGTCGGGCAGGGGCAGGTTGCCGCCGGGCGGGGCGAAGGATGCGGGCAGACACGGGGTTTTGGCTCAGTCCGGCTTGCATTAGACTCACTAATATAAGTTTCATGGGACCCACAATAAAAGTTGGTCAACTGGAAGTGAGCAGCGTGACCCAAAGCCCCTTGTCTGCACCAGGGCCGAGCACCGCAAGTTGGCAGTGGAGTCCAGGCGTGGGGGCACGCGGGCAAGTTGTGGGCTGGTTCGCCATGCCCATCGCATGTCCACGGTGCGCTGCCAGGGCCCGCAGTCATGGGACCCACAATAAAAGTTGGTCAACTGGAAGTGAGCAGCGTGACCCAAAGCCCCTTGTCTGCACCAGGGCCGAGCACCGCAAGTTGGCAGTGGAGTCCAGGCGTGGGGGCACGCGGGCAAGTTGTGGGCTGGTTCGCCATGCCCATCGCATGTCCACGGTGCGCTGCCAGGGCCCGCAGAGCAGGCGAGGGCACTTCTCAGGTGTGCCCGTGGGGCCGGTGAAGGCTTTCTGTTCGGGGATTGTCACAAGGTAGTCCATGTTCTTACCTACGCGGGACAGTTTTAAGAAAACGCCTTCCAGTTTGGTCATTGTTTTTGCAATCATCCTTGTGAAAAGAAGAAAAAATATCGTGGGTGTCCCAGTGTAGAAAAGGTTTCAATGAGCAGAGATGATTTTTTCAAGCTTTATTGTTGTCGCCAGATGATGATTTTTCAAGCTTTGCCGACCTGTTGTTCGGTAGATGTAACAAAACATAGTTGACTGTCGAAACTCTGCCCCCATCAGTCTCGGTAATGGGGCAGTTGAAATGTTATGAGAACCAGGGGATATTTCCGCCCCGCTAAACTTGCTTTACTGCAGATTTGGTCTGAAATCCCGCAGGAGGCAGGGCTCTTCTGTTCAGGTACCTAGGAGAGGGCATCAAAACCTTTCCTTAATATTCATGGTCCTTATTGCTAACTCATGCCGACTTGGGAACTCGGATAGCTCCAAAAGGAATGGCAAGGATGTGGGAAAGTGTCTGTCTTTCCCCGAGAGAGCAGGGACAGAAGGGGTCGTGGGGAAAATCCAAGAAATATTCAAGTTTGGAGAGGAGGTGTCAGCTGAGACTTACATTCATGTTTGACTTTTCAGTAAAGTCACAAGGCAGGTGGCGAATTTGGATATGAAGCACTTGTTTTCATTACAGAGTTCACTCAGGGTAGATTTCAAAGATTGCCCTTGACTCCCGCACCCAAAATCTCCTAGGTGGAAGGAAGGCGTGTTTCCAGCTTGGGCTGGCTGATCCATCGAGGGATATCGGTGACACTTCTCACTAGCACAGGTCAGCGGTTGCTGAGAGAATCACTCTGTGCGTCTCAGATGCAGTTCAAATGCTGTTTGTGCCCTGGCCACTTTCTCTCCAGTTAGGTTAACTCGGGAGCTGCTATCTTACTTAGATGAACTCTGTGGGGAAGAAATAGCTAAGGGTTTGTCTATAACGCAGGCTAAGAGGTAGGTAGGTAGGTAATCTAGAGTTTACCAACCCTTGGTTTCCTACCCCGTTGCTGTGCATTATCAATGCCAGCATGCTGCTGTTAGGGCCTGCTGTACGTGTCCGAGACAAGCCCTACAGCTATGTGGGGTCCTATCCCATGAATCGGAGCCCTGCGATTCAACGCTTGGAGTGGGGCAACTTGTCCGTTTTGCTCCTGGAGCTGCGGAGGGAAATGGACTACAACAGCCATTTCCTTGCTGTAACCAGTGAATATGCTTGCATGCTGCTCGGTGCCAAAAATGGGATATTCCCTCTGCCGGAAAGCTGCTACTTTTTATGCAGATAGTGTTTTCTTCTTTATGTCTGCCCAAGGTCCTCCGAAGAGAGGATGGCAAGGAGTTCAGAGGCGATTTGGGGATCCACTGGAGATGGAGGCAGAGGGTGCAGACAGACATTACAATGGAAACATGTTCAAGTGAAGCACACTTGGATCCGTTTCCTGCAGGAAACTTCAGCCAGGGGCCCCTGTGCCATCCTGTCTGCCTGGAGGGTGTCTGAAAACCCTGCAGCCTGCTCTGCTGATCAACAGGGAGCGGTAGAGCTCACCCCCACTTCCAGGATGGGGAACTGGAGGGAAGTGGGGAGCAGACAGATAAGCAGGAGGGGTTGAGGGTCCGTAGCCCCATCATGAATGTGAGAATGAACCTTGGGTTATTTATTGTTGGTTGTTAGCCAACATTAATAGCTTAGTTATGCATTTTCCTTTTCATGTCATTTATAAATTCGTGCCTATAATTTATCTGTGTGTGTCTGTATACATTTGTGTGTGTATATAGTATTAAGTACTATATCTAGTTTGAATAAACGCACACACACACACACACACACACACACACGTGTTAAAGTTTGTACATGTATATATCAGTTTGAACCGTGTCTTGCACTGGAGGAGGGGACCTCCAGGCACTCTACTTCTCAGCTGATACTATTTCTTTGGTGGGCTGGTAGAAAGGCTGAAGCCATTGGCACCCCAGTGATCTGACATCGTCAGCAGGACGCCCCTAGCATGGTGGACCAGGGTGACAGTACTATAGTATGGGATCATGTAGACATGCTACAGAGCATTAAAAGTGTATTCAAAAGCACTTTTAGTCTGAAGAGTTCATTAAAAACATCCAGGGAGCGACTCTGCTCTGGAATCATTTCCTTTTGCCCACAGCTGCGTTTTGCGTCAAGCAGTGTAGACACAACTTCAGCCCCCAAGCTTTCCCAAAGTTTTGTATACTGACAGAATAACACGTTCATAAAATAATGATCCTGATTGCTATACAGACACCTGTAAATGTTAGCTGAAGGGCATGTTTTAATGATTATAGATTCATAGACATTAGGGTCAGAAGGGACCTCAGTAGGACAGCAAGTCCGACCCGCTGCTCTGGGCAAGACAGAGCACTGGGGTCAGACGACCGCAGCTAGGTGCTTGTCCAGTTTCCTCTTGAAGACCCCCAGGGTAGGGGAGAGCATCACCTCCCTTGGCAGCCCATTCCAGATTCTGGCAACCCTTACTGTGAAGAAGTTCTTCCTAATGTCTAACCTAAATCTGCTCTCCATCAATTTGTGGCCATTGTTCCTAGTTACTCCAGGAGGTGCCCTAGTAAATAGAGCATCTTCTATTCCCTGCTGCCCTCCCCTGATGAAATTATGGCAGCCCCCAGGCCCCGCAGAGAGGACCTAACTCTCCTCTCCCCGCAGTGGCATGGGGGTTTTAGCACAAGCACATGGGGGGCTAGTGGCGGGTGGGGGCAGCACACCCTGTACTCTTCCTCTGCTATGAGGATCTCAAGGAGGTCAGTGGCTGCGAGCTACCCCTTGCGGTGCCCTGAAGCCGTGAGCTTCCCCAGCAGTGCCCTGAGGGGAGAGGCAGCAGGGTGAGGCTCTTCTGCTGGGACCTTGATGGTCTTGACCGCCGGCGCTCCCCAGGCTTCCCGGTGCTCCACTGCTCCCAGCCCCGTCGCGTGGAGCTGTGCTGCAATCCCAGCCATGGTTTTAAACTTTGCATCATATTTTGTCTTCTTGCTGAAAGACAAAACCATGCCAAATTTAAAACCCTCTGACCTTCCCCCTGTAGTTTGCAAGCAGCCCAATTTCCTGCCTATCACAGGTGGATGGTGTTTTACCAGGTGTCTGCTTTTTTTTTTTTTTGCACCAGGTCAAGGGCTTTGTTTTGGCTAGAAAAAAAGCAAGAAAAATGGTGTCCCTCAATCCTGACCCACAGCCCCATCCCCGCTGCTGGTGCCTCGCACTCCTGACCCACAGTCCTTGTCCACCCCTGACCTGCCAGTGCCCTGCGCTCCGGACCTGATCCCAACCCAGCCGCGTGGCGCTGCGCTGCAATCCCGGCTCTGGTTTTAAACTTGGCACCATTTTGTCTCCCTAATGGAAGACAAAAACCGCACCTAGTTTAAAACCCTGGGAGACAGGCCTAGACCAGCATGGCTACAAACAAAAACCCAGTTCAACAAAAAATAATGTTAGTTAACCTGATTCTTGCAGTGCCTGATCCCTAACAATTTTGGTCCTTTCCACCAGGGTGTAATGGCCAGTTTGCAACAGAGATTGCATGGATTTCTCAGCGTATCCAAGTGCCACCTGGTGGACAAATCGTGACAGAGCAGGGAAAATGCCATTTTTGCCTGCATCTCGGAAACACATTTAAAACCTATTACGATAAAAATAATCCTGTTGGCACAATTTCTCACGCTAAAATAAAACATCAGAGGTGGTTTAATTTACCATGATAAAAAATGACTAACACGATAAAACGAAGTCAGAACGTCTACCTTCAGACACGATTAATCTAGCAAAATGGCAATTTTTGTCACACGGATGTTGGAAAAGCGCTATGTGGACAAGTGCCCTAGTGAGGAGGTTTTTTCTCCTATCCACCCTAAACCTCCTTTGCTGCAACTTGAAAGCATTGGTCCTTGTTTTGTCACCTGCCACCGCTGAGAATAGTCCAGCTCCATCCTCCTTTGAACCCCGCTTCAGGTAGTTGAAGGCTGCTATTCAATCCCCCCTGAGTCTTCTCTTGTCCGGACTAGGTAAGCCCCGTTCCCTCAGCCGCTCCACAGAAGTCATGTACCTCAGCCCCCAAACCATTTCCGTTGCCATCCATTTGACTCTCTCCAACTTTTCCACATGCTTCCTGTAGTGGGAGGCCCAAAAGTGGACACAGTACTGCAGATGTGGCCTCACCAGTGCAGAATGGAGCAAAATAACCACTTCTTTGGATGTCCTGGCATTGCTCCTACTAATGCAGTCCAGTATG